TGCCACATTCACCCTTTCACACATTCACTCAATGATGGCAAAGCCCATCATACGGAAACTAACTCATTCATACACATTCACACACTGATGCACAGCAGTGGGGTAAACACAGGTGTTACCAATTATACTAATTAAGGTTCCATGCCATTTAGTGTAGCAGAGCCTTTCCAGTGAGCTTTCCAGTGCTTTGCAGGTGGGATTAAGAATGAGGACGTCCTCTGGATACATGCCAATTCCTTTGGTTGCATCCCCATTTCCATTTCCCCATTGTGTCTTTCCCTTGCATCTTCTTCCTTCCCTACCTTAAAAACGGAGACACAGATACGAAGAAGAATGGAATCAATGAAACGTGTTTCCTCTAAATGGTCATCTTGGACGATGCCTGCTTCTGAAGCAATGGTAGCCACTTTAAATGTGCCAGATGTAGGGGTAGAGTATTTGTACATCATGGCTGAATAAATGAAATGACAATCCAGTCTGATTAGCAAACTATACATTGTCCTTTATGGCGCTGGAGAACCTGAACTTTTGGAAGCCAGTTAGAACATAGTAAACCTTATGTATTAAGCTCATTTCCAGCTCTATATTCTTAGTCTGAAACTCCAGTAGAATAACTTTGTATGATTCACTCTTCAAAAACATCTTTATTTATCTTATAGTGGCCCCTTCATGCATCATCCTCTGTCGGAAACAAGATTTCTATTGGCCAACTTTGCAGAAGCCTGCTGAGGGGCTGCAGCGCGTAAACAGTGCTTCATCCTCTGGCCAGTGTGTTCTTGCTGGAATGGCGGCTTCAGTAACTTAAATTGGATAATAGTGATACAGGACTTTGAATTTTGATTTGATGAATTTGATGACTTCACTGTTTATCAGACCACAAATGAGACAAGAATTAGGATGGAAAATGATAGACGCCACTGGAGCGGAGTATTTTCTCGAGACTTGGCCTCACTGATTACTGTAAACAAGCATAACTTTAGAACTTTATTTTAGTAATTTCAGTGAAACTGGATCATATTTTGTGGAGAAATTTAGATATTTCCTGGTTTTTCCTCTGATGTCCTCTGGCTGCTCTGCTTCTTGCTTTCCTGAGGGAAATATAGCCTTAGCTACTTGTCAACCCTCAACTAGCTGCGGATGTTAGCTGGTTAGCAGTGCAGCTAACCTAGCCATCCTTAGCCTGGACTGGGAGCTCAGAGCACCGGGGCAGTCAACATTACATCTCTAGTACAGGAACCCGGGAGTGCCAGTGCCTTGAGCTCCCAGTCCGTTAGCAGGTAGCAGCAGTTAGCGGTTTGCAGACAACTACAAGTAAATGTCCATCAGTAAACTCCATACATCCCTGAGAATTGAGGCAGAGAAGAAGCACCACATCAGAGGATAAAACAGAAAACATGTAACTTTCCCTCATAACTGAAAAAGCACTTTCTGCATATAAAACCTTGGGTTGGTCCTGACTCCTCAGCAGAGCAGTCCATAACTTAGACCTCGCATTTCGCTGTACTTCATGGGCAAGCTCAGCCGTGTTCTGCATGGACCAGACAACCACATAGTTGTTTTCTGACGAGCCAACGTCAGGTAGTTACCAAAAGTCGCAAAATAGTTTGGAAATATTTCAGCGCAGTTTGGATTCTGAACTTTTTGTTCACAACTACTTTTCCATGCATTTACCTTATTGTTTTTGTTTTTTTCTTTGATCTTGTTTAATGTCAACATCCTCCAATATAACATTATATGTATGACAGAAACTCAGGAAATAAGATGCATGGTCAGCAAACTAAACACAAGGCTGTTTCTTAGTTCCTGAAAAGTTGATCCAACACCATGACACCAACATGCGCATGAGGCAGAAATAAGTGAGTGAGACAACCAACCCCTCACCTAATGCACGCATTAAGGCAGACAATAATGTACACCAATGTCTATTTGGTAATATCAATATTTATTGTTTTAATATAACAGTAAGCTCCACTTTGCAAACCAATAGAAAGGAAGAAAAAGTAAAATTATTGTTCATCAGCTGTCCCTCCAGCCCTGTGTAGAATACACTATGCAGAGAGCTCTGTGACACTATTGGTCTTCTCATCTTACTGCGGGTGACACAGTTTGACATTGATATTCAGATCAGCCATATGGTGCTAGTTTTCCACCAGCCGAAGGCAAATATCAGGGATATGACATCACACCCATACTGGAAATGTGTCCTTCCTGCTTTCTCTTCCATCACATCATTCAACTTTGCAAGATTAACTGCAAAAGTTTGGATGGGAATCGAGGTCTTTACTTAGCAGATAAGCTCATGCCAACACCATGTGCTCCCTCCACCATCCTGTCCTCCTTAAATAAGATTTAATGTTCATGTATGTTTATTTAGAGTTTGGATTCTTGATGGAGGTCCTTCACAGTATACTACACAGTACAACTATGTACAAGAACAAAACCATCAGTGCCTGAGCTGCAGCAGGCAAATGGCAGATTTACAATGAATAAACCTTTTTCACTGCAGCCATTTTGACATGAAATAGTAGGGTAAACACAGGTGTTACCATGAAGTAAG